TAGTTCAACTTTGGGATGGGTAATACTTCAAAATACAAAATATGATGGATTTACTTAAAATATGGAGGATCATTAATTAATCACCAAGAACCTATCAATTCTGTAATAGTCTAGAATGATTGATCAGTTGCGATCAAATTTCATTGTGAATCTAAAGACCCATTAGTTATTTGTATAGCTATTAAGTTCTACATTTTATTTAATCAAAATCAAATCTATGATAAAAACTAGATTTCCTTTATTAAAAATACTTTTCTATCAATTAAAGACCCCAAATGTTGATCCACATATTATTTTAAATATTATAAACTATGGATTAAGGTAAAGTAGTTTAATGACTGCTTTTCTTTTAGGCTCTATTTCCAGATTTACAGATAATCCAGTTTGTCTTGGCCACCTATAATTAACAGATAATTAAGTTATCCGACTGCGGATGATTCTCGGCACCATGAGTCCATTTGCTTTGCTTAGTTTTCCATATCTTCTCTTTGGCCACCTTCAACTGCTCCAGTTTTCTAGATAATATCTCGCATCTTTTCGGTTTGAGTGCTTCAATAATAACCGTTGTTTTTGGGGTTTTCTCTGTTTGTTTTTTTTTTTCAGATTGCCAGAGGTCAGGAGTCGTTGAACCCAGACATTGACCCCCACCTTCTCCCCACCCCTTCGGCGATCGACGCACGACAAGTTTCGAGTTTTGTTTTATTTTTGTTATTTTTTGTTATTTTTTGGTTTTCAAGTTATTTGGTTTTTAGCGTACTTTGCGTTTGCTACTTGCTGTTTGCTGTTTGCGTTTTTCATTTGGCTTTGGGCCATCTCTCCCACCTTTCGAGAGGTTTCTTTCGGCTATCCCCCTCATTCATCTTAGCCATCTGCGTTTATGTGTAATTACATTGGGAGTTTTGGGTTTTGGATTTCGGGTTCTTCGGATTCCGGTCCGGTTCGCTCCGATACGGCTTTTGGCTTCTGGCTTTTGTCCACCTCGATCGTCGCTTTCAAACAATTTCCTTGTAGCCGCTTTGGGGCGTTTTAACAAGAGCAGTCAGCCCATCTTACCAACCCCCACCAAATAATTATGTTTATGTTTTTCGACTTGGGTAATTTCCATTTTTTACTAACTTTTTATTGACTGCGAAGCTGCATAAAAGCATTCATTAGGCATTTATCAAGCTGGTGTCAGGATCTCACAGCGCTTTTGGTTGTTTGGCTGACCGGTTTCGGGCATTTTTACTTTCGATTGGCAAACGGGTAAAATCGACGGGAAAATCTTACTACCGCTGTCTGCGTCCGCAATGCGCAAAAAAAGCGAAATTTTAATAGACCAGCAACAACCAGAAATGATGCATCAAATTCTAACCGGTTTTTGGGGGTTTTCTTCTCCTTTTTTTTTTTTTTTTTTGGGATTTCTCGCAGCAAAATTGGAAAAATTTTACAAGGAAATTGGGAAAAAAAACAAGTGAAGATGCTCAATAAAGATATAATATATTATTGTGATATCCGTTTTTAGATAAATAACATGATTGACCCTAAACTTGTTTGTATACTTTTATTTTTAATTAAATTTAATTTAATTTAATTAATTTATTTAAACAAAATATTGCTTAAGTATGTTTTTATTCTATACAAAAGTTATATAGAATTTTATTGAAAATAAACCAAACAGAAGTGTTAGTTTTAATTAATAATATGTTTAAAAGGTTTAGACAACGTTATTGCTCGAATGTTAACATGTAAAAAGGCAAATTTAATAAATGTTTCCGAATTTCCATTTGAAAATAAATGGTATATATGTACATTTTAGAATTAATTTGTTAACTTTAATGAGTAATGAAAAAGTCTTCTTAAGCAGAGATGGTGAAAAAGTGAGCTTTGGGTATCCAAGTTAAGCAGGAATTGAGTCTGCATTTCTGAGACTTAGACTTGTGTTCTTCATATCTTTTTTTCTTAACGCTCCTCTTAAACGGACTGGTGATCGAGTGCAGATCTTCAGCTTGGCCTGAATCGCATCGGGGAGATCCTCGAGCTCAATCCGCTGCCATGGCCAATCAGCCAGTCTCAATCACTTGACCATGTATCGCCCCTACCCCCGTAGGTGGCTGCCCCTGCATCGCCCCCTCCGTGTACGACCCCCTCGATCATTTGTCGACTTGTCCATTGCAATTCTTGAGGCATTTTATTTGGGTCATGGACAGTCATCTCGCTCAATGTTTCCCCCCTCCGCGGTCTTGTATCTACAGGTTTTTCGACTTTTACTTGCAACTGGCATTGGCCGGGCCAAAAAGGCATTTTTTGTTTTAGCCTTTTTGATTCCGTGTTTCATCTTTTGGTTGGGTTTTAAAAACGAATCATCGTTTTTTTTTTTGGGTTCTGGGGTGTTTAGTGAGCTGCCAAAACAGCTGTTAAGACGGTTATTATTATTTAAATGGTATTATTGGGCTTTGAAACATAGAGTAAGTCTGTTTCTAAAGCAATATTGAAGCTTTTTAAATTTAACTATATAAAATTAAAAAGAGATATAATAATCGTATTGTTCTCGTTTTCGTTGTATAGGTTTTCAGCTGATCCCAAACGTAGCTGTTAAGTTTCGGAATATTTCCATATTTCTGCTGTCAATTATTGTTGCCGTCATTCATTTCATATACTCTGAAGTTAAAATATAACATTATTAAGAACGACATGAAATTATCAAAAGTATTTTGTCTTCTGCTAAAACGATAAAGATATTTACAGATCCATTTGTCTTCTAATTCTGATATAATAGACTAAATTTTTTGATTTCTTATATAAAGTTCGAATGAACTATTAAGTAAAATATACATATCTCATTTTTTTTTTTTTTTTTGTTCCGTGATGTGTAAGTTTTGGGAACAGATTGTTTATCGAACATGACATTTGTGGCACACTTTTGGACTTAAGGCCTAATTCTCCATGATCTTGATGTGTTCATCTTGGAAAAAAAAGGAGAAAAAGAGAGAACGAGGAGGTGGAGGTCGAGGTGGAGTACTACGAGAATTGGAGTCCAAACAATGGCGATCACTAAATTTCACAGCTCTTACCATGACTTTGGTTTTGGCCCCCAAGAAAGATCAAGACGGCTCCAAAAATATATTAAACACAAAACGTTGCCAACTGTGCAAATAAAGCAGCAACAACAATAACAACAATGGGGCACACACATGCACACCTGTGGGTGAATGAAGAAGAAGAAGAAAAGCCAAAAAAAAAATGAGAGACTAAAAGACTAAAAGAACAACAACATGTAAATGAAAAACCAAACAAAACCATTTTACAATTGTGGCCACAGCATTGTTGTTGGTGTTGGCTTTGTTGTTTTGCCTGTTGTTTTTTTTTTTTGTTTCTGCGGAAAGTCAGGAAAATCAGTCAATGGAACGTCACGGCAGAACAGCGGCAGCGACGCCGACTGCGACGTCGACAGCGACGCCAACAGAGGCAGCGCAGCATCGGGGGCGTACTAAGTTCAATGAAATACAGTAAAAGGGAGACGAAGAGAAGGAGGAAGAGGAGGAGGATGAGGAGGAAAAGAAGCCAAATACACAGAAACAAAAATAATATACCCAACTTAAAACAGCACTGATATCAATTAGATATTCACATTTTCCATATCATTCAAATATGAGAAGAATTCACAAGTAATACACAAACAGTTAAGGGTACTGTGCACAAATTGAATTTTAACATTTTTAATAAATCTTGATTTAATAAATATTCAATATGACAGATTAATTATTTTATTCTTAATGTCTTATGAGGTACAATAAATAAGAATTTGGATATCATTTCAAATTTTAATATATATTCATTTTGAATATCTGCAATTATTCACTGAGATTTTAAAATAGTTTTGGTAGTAGAATTTACTAACCTCTTCAACTTTCTGCTGCATTTTGATCAAAAGTTTATTTTGCGTTGGCTGCAAAGATGCGTTTTAACACTTAACAGAACAAAATTTTTCAAAAAAAAAGAGACGAAAATAAATGTTTCAATTGCGACACATTCACGGGATCGTCTATTGAAATTGCACTTTCTGATTTCCTCCTGGTTTTTCTCTGTTTATCGGCGGTTGCGCGCGCGCAAAAAGTGCAGCGAGGAAAACAAACAATCAAAACAGACGGATGAACAGGAGTTGGAGTAGACGCGAAGAATTGTAGAATCGCAGAATCGGAGACTTTTGGAGGAGCGACCAGCACGCAAAGCAATCGAAAACACAACTGGTGGCAAAACCAAAATGAGACGAAGAATGTGGAGTGCATCCGACGATAACACAAACACAGCGCTAAAGCTCCGCGGACAATCGATAACGCCAGCGCCATGTCTATCGAAAATACCAAACTGACTTTCAGTATTTACCAGGGATGAAAGACTCTACTTATTTCAAGCTAAATTTGGGCCTGGTTTTATGAACTTTTAATAATATTTTAAGATTAAACAAAACAATTTTTGTTTTAAAAACAAAATATTTAAGAAAGAATTTTTTCTTTCATCTAAAGTTACTTGAGTTAACCAAATACTAACTAAACTTAGCAACACAATATTATAAATGAATTTCTGATAAAATAAAGTATATACATGTGCGCACAGTAAAAATTAATAACTAAATTTGTTTTTACATAGTTTCATAAACTTTGTTTTTTGAATTTGGATGAAATTACTAAATTACTACAAAACCTAACAAAAATGTTGTAATGGTTATACTAAATTGAAACTTAACTTAAGTTAACTTTTTCTTGATCAGCTTTCGATTTGATATAACCGTTTTCGTATAGCTGATATATGTTCGTAAAATGTTCACAAAAAAAAACAGAAAACAAACTTATTTTGTTCCAAATTATTTGTATTTATTTTATGAAAGTTTGAGTATTCGGCTATTTTCAAGCTAGCATTTCCCCAAAACGATAGTTGTCAGCCCTGGCCCAAGCCGTTGTCCGTTGTCATAGCAACCATCGATAGTGTTTGCCTTGGCAACGGTATTTCAAAGACCGAAAACAAAACAGAACGAAGGAGGCCTGATATTTGTGATTAAATGAGAATAAAAATAAATTAAAGGACGAAATCATGCAGCAGGGAAAGGACATGAGGCGCACAGGAGTCTATCGTGTGAGTGGGAATATGGGGGATCTGCAATTGGAACTGAAGCTGCGGCACATCAGTGAATGGCTGCCGGTGCCCAAGTTCGAGTACGTGGGTGCTCAGTCCGCCAGCGGACATGGTGACCACCACGACCATTATCCCAGATCGGAGGGGGAAATCTGGCAGGATTGCTTAATCCACGTGCCACAAGGCGTTGACTCCTATGGTGGAGCAAATCGCTTGGGCTACTACTGCAGTTATTACAATATGGGAAATGCTGGGAATTTTGGAAATCAAATGTTAAGACGAAGGAGTCCCATTTCCCAGACGAGAGAGGAAGAAGGAGTCGAGGATGCAGAGGATCCCGATCCCGATCCCGATCCCGCTCCCGCTCCCGTTACCGATTCTGAGTCGCAAAGTAATCCCTCGTGGAGCATCTTCAGTGAAAACAGTCGACTTGGCGGCGATCTCTTCTACGAACGAAATAAGGAGCTCTGCAATGGTGGCATAGCCACCATACGCATATCCTGGCAGCAAAAGCACTTCAGTCGGGCCGAACTGGAACGCCATAAGCCCGATCCCGGAGGATGTGCCTCGAAGCTCCAGCGTCGCTATCACAATTGGGCCCTGGAAACTCTGGAGCTGCAACAGCAATATCTGCGGAAACTGGAGAACCAGGAGAACGAGAATACGGAACCCGTAACCCGAGTGCGTCGCAGGGTGCGTAAATCGAAGTGCAGGCAGAAATCGGCAGTGTCTTTGGTCCCTCTGGGCATCGTTTCCAATGCCCTGTCCTCCGCCAACATGTCAGATATCTCGCAACACTGTGATCCCAACTTTGCGGCCAGAACTTGTCTTATTCACACGGTGGTTGACGGCGATGCGGAGGACATAATGCCGGAGGAAGCTAGAAATCTGCATGAGAAAGGCTACCAACTAATGTACATCTATGCCGATCTGCAGCAGGACACTCTGTTGGTGAGCCTGCAGTATGATCCGGAGCAGGGTCTGCTGTATGTGTACCCCGATTTCAGTGGCTCTGCCCAGGATTTGGACTATGTGCTGCGGATCGAGCGGGATAACGACTGTCGGCAATTGTATGCCTATGGTTTCGAGAATGCCACGCCACTGGAGGTGCTGAAAGAGGATCTATTTCTGGAGCAGGAGCAGGATGCAGAGCTGGCAGATGACAATTCCGAGGTGGAGCTGCCCGCAGAGGCCTCCGCCCTGGAGATCTTGGAGTACTATCACGAGCGGCGGGCAGCGTCCAGCGAAAGGCGTAATCTGCTGCAATTCGAGATGCCGCCGAAGAGGATGAGGAGGGTGTCCCTGCTGCTGGAACTGCAGGAGGCGCAGCACTTCGAGAACCCCAACATCCATGTGCGGTACTACCTGAAACCACCGGCAAATACCCTGTGGGAAGCTGCGCCCGGCGAGGATCCCATGCAGGGAGCCACGGCCACCTGCAGGAATGCCGGCGACTGGAGGACTGCCCACCTGGGACACTGCTGGCAGGTAACGCTGCTCTGCGAGGAGCAACACCAGCCCACTGACCTCCTGCATCTCTACTTCGAGGTGGTCAGCATCGATGGCTGGCAAAGGGAGCGATGCGAGGGTTACGCCCACTATGCCATCTCGCTGACAACCCCGTCGAGCTGCGATTCCATGCGGCTGCAGTGCATCCGACCGCTGGGCACCTGGCTAGATGCCCTCAATCGCTACTTCATTGGCGGTCGTCAGCTCTTCGACTTTGTGTCCTACTTCGATGTGCACGAACAGTACGACCTGCACTCCCGCATGGATGACAATGCGGGTGCCGAGATGGCCATGACCACGACCGGCTCTCTGCTGCTCCGGCTGCAGAAGCTGCAGCAGCGGCAGGTCGAGCCCGCCAGTCAGCTGCACTTCCATCTGGATCTGGGGGATAGCAGCGATGACAACGATGACGATGAGGGGGACAAGTCCGGCTCGAATGCGGATACATCCAGGGCAACCACTTTGGACGAGGTGATGGCCGCCTATGTGGAGGCCAGGGAGCGGATCGAATCGCTGCTGGAGGCCCGTTGATCGGATCCAAGGGTAACCCCCTCATATCATCAGCATTTCATCAAATTTATTTGCATACTTTCGAGGTAGGATGACAGCTTTTTATAAGTTAATGAAGTAAAGGTGCTTTGAGTACTCCAAATAGTAATCCCATTCACTTTAAGGGGCTATACTAGTGTAATACTTTTTTAGAAATAGATATTTTCTTTCTCTTTTTTGATAGTTTGCACTTTCAAAAATATCCCATGAAAGCTGCAAAATCCTATATTAAATATATTTGAAAGCTCGCTGGAAAATGCTCTTAACTTTAATACCCCTTTTGAATGTTTTGGCTTCAGCTATCTCATTTTGCCATAAAAATGTCAGCGAGTACTTTCTAAAAAAAAGCAAATTTTGATTTTGATATTATTCTTTGCATACATCTAGGCTGACATTAAAACCTCATAGGCGGTAAAGAGAATAAATGATTATTAATATATTAATTTTACTTTTTAAAAATATTAATTTTCTTTAGTTTATTTAAACTAAATATTAAGGGTACCTTTTTCTAACAATTTGCAAAGCTTTAGCTGTACTAAATAAAATTATTAAAAATCAGCTTTTGTTTATGAAACCTGGATTTTTACATATACTTTTTACTATACTTTCTTTATTGCAACTGCAGCTGGCGCATAGAAATCGACAATGCGAGCAATAGAAATCGGAACTCGATAAGTGGGGACCAACAGAGGCGAGTGATAAGCGGGTGATAAGCCGATTCGCTGGAGGCTAGCAACAACTGGCAACAGATGGTGCGGCCGCCACCTGAGATACACCCGATGACCCCTGACCCCGGCGTCGAAAAAAAAACACACACAGAGATGCCCGCACCAATCTGGGCTATAAAAGCAGACCTGTGGGCGGCAGTAAGGCAACAGTCTTTAGGCATTGCATCCACTGGTGGGTGCATCTAGTCCGGAGCAGTTGAAGTCGAGTGTCCAGAGTGAAGAGTAGAGAAATCAGGATGAAGTTCGCCATCGCATTGCTGGCCCTGGTGGGCGTGGTCGCTGCGAGCAGCTTGCACCAGAAGCACGAGGTCAAGATCGCTGACAAGGCCTTCCTCGAGAAGCAGAAGTTCCTGTTCGAGATCGTCTACCGCGTGGAGGATCCGCTGGCCTTCGAGGAGTACATTAAGAAGGGCGAGAAGTTCTACTTCGAGGAATCGCACTACACGGTGAGATATCAAGTTTGGGAGTAGTTTTGAGGCAATGGTAAAAAAAAGTAGTAATAATAGTAGAATAAAAATATTTATTTTTTTTTTTATATTTCATTTGATTATTTTAGAAATAGATATTAATATCTGAAAATTAAATTCAAGTTTAAACCATATTAAACTTAAATATAATGTATTTAAAAGAAATGGGACCCATTTGAAATCTAATATTTTCCACAATAATTCAAATACCTGCATATTAACATTAATATTGTGATTTGGTATTTAATTTAAATATGAAATATAAAATTTGGGACGCAATAGTCAGATATTTTGTTTTTACTATTCCATTTTTTATGTCAGTACTTTTAAACTCATATATATGAAAACAATGGATGAATTAATTGGTTGGCATTAAAATATTAAAGAACAAAATATTTCAGTTCCTAATAAATAGTTAAATTAAAATATTTCAGTACCTAAATACCAAGGTTAGCATCTTGTCAAAGTTGTATTATGTACAAAAAAATGTTTAGGTACCAAAATAATTTACCTACTATAAAATGGTATCTAGTTACGTACCTAGGTACAAGTAAATAGGTACTAGCATACACCGATTAGGCGCACCTTTTAAATCATAATTTCCACCTCTTCCAGCACTTCGACCTGTACATGAAGAAGTTCTTCGAGGCCTACAAGGCACATGCCCTGCTGCCCAAGGGCGAGTTCTTCGGCGCTCTGGTGAAGCACCATGCCAAGCAGGCGCGCGGTCTGTTCAACTTCTTCTACTACGTCAAGGACTGGGAGACCTTCGCGAGCAACGTGGCCTTTGCCCGCATGCACTTCAACGAGGGCATGTTCGTCTACGCCCTGACCCTGGCCGTCATCCATCGCGACGACTTCCATGGACTGATGCTGCCCACGGTGCACGAGATCTTCCCCCAGTTCTTCTTCAACAGCAAGTTCGTGTTGGAGGCCGAGAAGTTCGACTACGAGATGTGGATGAAGACGAGTCTGTACGAGAAGGAGTACCTGGATGTGTACCACAAGACGGGCAGTCACGGCTTTGGTAATATGTACCAGTCCTCGGACTACACGTACATCAAGGACTTCAAGACATGGCAGTGGTGGAAGCTGATGGGTCTGGGCGAGCACTTCTACAGCGAGGACAAGTACATACTGCGCGAGAACATCTACGAGTTCAACCAGGAGGGCAAGTGGCTGGCAATGATGAAGGACGTGAAGAAGTTCTACATGCCGGTGGACTACACCCGCGACCTGCACCACTACAACGAGGAATCGCAGCTATCCTACTTCACCGAGGATCTGGGCTGGAACGCCTACTGGTACTACCTGAACATGGACTACTCCTTCTTCCTGGACGGCAACACGTTCGGCCTGAAGAACGACCGTCGCGGCGAGTGGTGGCTGTACAATGTGCACCAGCTGCTCAGCAGGTACTACATGGAGCGTCTGTCGCACGGACTTGGCGAGATACCGCAGTTCTCGTGGTACCACCAGATCGAGATGGGCTACGATCCCCAGATGGTCTACTACAATGGCATTGGATACAGTGCCCGCAAGAACTACTACGAGATGGAGACGTACGGCAACTTTGAGATGCTGGACAAGATCACCGGCTTCCTGGGACGCATCCACAACATCATCGCTATGGGTTACTACAAGACGGCCGATGGCCACACGATCGATCTGCGCAAACCCGAGTCCATCGAGTTCATTGGCAATCTGATGCAGGGCAACATTGACACCCTGGACAACATGTTCTTCCAGTTTTGGTACATGCTCGCCCACATGTACTTCGCCGACACCGATTACCAGCAGATGGAGATCTATCCCAATGTGATGGTCAACTTCGAGACGATGATGCGGGACCCCATGTTCTACATGTTCTACAAGTCAATAGCCGAGGTCTACTTCCAGTTCATGCACCACCTGCCCAAGTACACCAAGGAGCAGCTGCTGCTGCCGGGCGTTACTTTGAAGCATGTGGAGATCAGCGAGTTGACCACCTACTTCGATCTGGTTGACTTTGATGTGAGCAACATGCTGAACGACAAGATGGTCTTCCACGAGGGTCAGTTCGTGTGGGACAAGTCCCTGTTCGCCCGTCAGATGCGTCTGAACCACAAGCCATTCAGCTACACTTATACCATTGAGTCCTCGAAGGTCGAGAAGGTCGTAATTCGCGCCTTCTTGGGCCCCAAGTACGATGAGTTCGGCAGGACGATCTCGTTGGCCGACAATCGCATGAACTTCATGGAGATCGATGAGTTCTACTACGAACTGAAGGCCGGCAGCAACCTGATCAGCCGTCAGTCGAACGAGTTCACGTGGACCGTGAAGGATCGCACCACCTACACCGAACTGTATCGCTACGTGATGATGGCCTTCGATGGCAAGTACGACTTCCCGCTGGACATCAGTGAGCCCCACTGCGGCTTCCCCGATCGCCTTGTTCTGCCCAAGGGCTGGAAGAGCGGCCTCCACATGCAGATGTTCTTCATGGTCCTGCCCTACGCGGCCCCGTCCCACGAACAGTTCGCCACCTTTGACCAGACGCATTCGTGCGGCATTGGTTCGGGTGCCCGCTACCTGGACGCCATGCCCTTCGGCTATCCCTTCGATCGCGAGGTCGACGAGTACGAGTTCTTTGTGCCCAACATGTACTTCAAGGATGTGACCATCTACCACACCGACACCATGGACAAGTACGAGCAGTACAAGGGCTACTCCGACTACGGCCACTTCGACTATGCCTTCTTCAACGACTACTACACCAAGTACTTCAAGTTCTAAATACTCCATGCTCCATTCTCAAGCAACCATTGAGCATAGTTTATAAATAGTTTATAAGCAGAGCAAAAAGTGAAATAAACTTTCAAAAAAAAAAAACCAAGAGTTGATGTATCTTTGATTTGACGACGGGGTCAGGGGTCATCGGGTGCCATTCGGCTTATCATTTGGCTCCCCACATATCGATTTGAATTATTTACCGATTTATTTGTTTCTTTTATTTAAGTTGGCTTGCTTTCATCTAAAACCGGTACATTGCTACGAAGTTGCATAAGATCGATCTGATAATCGTTGACATTTCTTTTAGCAAGCTTTAAATTTTCGCACACATGAGTAACATGACGTATGAGTAATTTTTTATACGATTAACATTTGTTTGCAGTTGGTTTTAGCTTGGTGAATAGACATTATAAATAATACATGTTGTTTACCAGACGAGTAGATCTTTTTGATCCAATAAATAAATTTTTCTTGTGTATGTAATATTAGAAAGTATATAGGATTTAATACGTTATTTGCATGCTTTTAGGCTTTTAATAAAATGTTGAAATTCATGTTTAGAAATCGTAAACTTAAATTAATTAAATATAAATTCAATTAACAAATTTAATTGAGAAACCCAAAGCCAGAATAGAAAATGAAAGTCTGTGCTGTTTTACTCACCCACTTAACTGTTCAATAAAGAAGTTTGGCCATTTAAGCCATCGATTAAATCTCTCGTTAATATTACCAATTAAAACCAATTTAGATTTTGATCGTTAGTTTAGCCATTTTATTTACTACTAATATCACTCAGTGTATATACATAGATTCGTTTGTGTCTTTTGTCGGGATTTGTGTGTTTGTGTGTTTTTGTTTTTTTTTAAGTTTTTGTGTTTTTTGTTTTGTGTGTGTGTGTTTTGTGTGTGTGTGTGTGTGTGGGGTAGATACATAACATATATCATTGTGTATAGGTATAATATCATATATAAAATTGTGCTCCGTATATAACACTAAAAAATGATAAAAAAAAATTTCGCTAGCTCTGTGATTTGCCTTGTTTACTCTTCATTTTGCCTGTTGGAGTTGCACTTAAAAAACTAAATACTTGCAGCTGGGGAAAATCAGGGATCGGGAAACGGGTTGGGGGGTTGGGGTAGGTATTTTGTGTTTTCTTTTCTTGGCGTGGGCATAAAACTTATGCCGTGGGCAGATACAGACGAGAGGGCGTCGACAGAGGCACCTTAGGGGGCTGGTAATCGTAGCCATTTCCGTGCTCGTTCCCATTTCCGTTTCCGTAGGGAGACGAGTAGCTGTAGTCATCGCCACTCTGTCCACTGCCGCGCAGAGGTCCCTGATCGGAGCCCAAGTTCTGCTGCAGGAACTGGAAGCGGTTCTTGTTGCCCAACAGGCTGCTGGGATCCACGGTTTGACGCTGTCCAGCAGCGGCCAAAGGCTGGGGCCTATAAAATAAATGTAACTTATTAGCATATATTGTTCTGAAAATGTTTAATTATTTTTGTATAATTTCAAACATATTTTCGAAGTACAAATTATTATTTTCTTTTATTTTCAATCCTTTTCAATTGGGCAAAATAACTAGAACAGGTTTCAAAGATTGAATTAAATGTATTAAATATATTTTCATAATTCTAATTTATTAAATTTTTTTTTAGATTTTATATTCCTATTATTTTTTTCCTTTTAGTTCCTTTTCAAGTACACATTTCATTTTTAATGTTTTAATTTAATAATGTTTTCTTTACTTTTCAGTTAATTTTGCTTTGAAAATTGTTGTGTTCGTAAAATACTCACTCGGGAATGTCCAGATCCAGCTCGGTGATGGGGTGGTAGCCGAACTCATCGGCGGTGTACCGGGTCCTGTACCGCTTGCCATCGGCGCCAGTGAACGAGTAGGAACCGCTGACCACAAAGGTCTTGTCGTCCTTCAGCTTGCCCACGCTGCTCACTTCGATTCCGTTCTGGGTCTTCAATCTGTAAGTGGTTGGGTTTTAAATTTAGTAAAAACAAAATAAATATAAATAAACAAAATACTTTTAATTAATAGAATTTTATACAGAAGTCACCTACGTTTGAATTTGGTTAACTTATTTAAAAAATATATCTATTTAACAACCCTTTAACTCTTAGTTTAGCAAAAGGCGTTTTAAAATCTTTTGAGTTTCAACTAATGCTGTAATCAGTATTGATTGTAAAATAAAGTATTCAGACCTACTGCACTTCTTATAATATTCTTTATATTAAGTTTAAAAATTAATTGTTATTTGCACTGAAATGCTAATATATTTTTGACTATAAAAATAAATCCAAATAAATTATTTTAAGGGTTTCAATTGTGGATATAATATTGTTTTTGCTTTTAAGGCACTTTAAACGAGTCTTTTTTTTCCAGAAAAATATATTTACTACTTTCTTTTGGAATGTATGTATGGGATACTCACTCAAGCTTGAATTTCTTGCCGGAATTGTAGTTCTGGAGCGTCTCGGTCTTGGCCTTCATCACGTCGCCGCTGAAGTGCACCGCCGGCTTCTCGTCATCGATGTCCTCGGGCAGGGTGTAGATGTCGCTGGGGTTGTACTTGAAGAGGTCCAGATTGCGGTCTGTCAGGTGCTTGACATCGGCAGCCGCCAGAGCCGCGAAACCCAAAAGAATCAGCTGCAAGAGGAGGGAAGAAAGATATATCTCTGGTTAGTACTCCATATCACTCCGATCGCCTAGCGTATCTTAGATCTATTATGGACGTGTGCATCACAGGCATTTAACGCTTCAAATTCGATTTAAATCTCTTATTCGTATTCGTATTTTGCATTTTTGCATTTCGCATTAGCGGGCAATTAATCAAAGTCGCGCGCGATTCGCTGGCGTTTTTATTTATTTTTTTTTTTTTGACTGTCGGTCGGTATAGCGTCGCATTGTCTCGTGATTCTCTCGATGTTTTTTCTTCATTTGCCGTGATTTATTTGATTTGGTTTCGGGCCGAGGCACTAATCATAATGGGTTCCAACCGTTTCGATATTTGTCATGCGTCTGTTTTGACGTTGATGAGCTGTGCAGTCGCTCAAGGTGATCCGATCGTTTTTGGATACGGACTTTTCCTTAAAGTGTGGCTCATTGATTGTACTTATTCAAATTTAAATCAAACGGTTTTTGTTTTTTCATTTATTTTAAAGGATTTATTCCCGAAACATTTTTTTTTATATTTTTATTTTTACATTTATTTATTTATATTCTTTTATATACTTTAGAATATTTTTAAGTGATTCCCGAAACTTAAAAACTATTTGTTCTGGATTTAAAGTGATTTCAAATTAATTTTCAAAAGTATGGGTTTAGTTTTAAAATCTTCACATTATTTAAGGACATTTGTAACGCGCACTTTCACTTGACCCTTTACTTCATTGGGACACCACAAAAAAAATGATTTGAAAAATTTCTTAGACTGTTTTTGAGATTTGCTGTAGATATTTTTGTGTTGGCACTTACAAAACTCTTCATTTTTGTGTGTTTGTGTGTGGCGAAAAAAAATTCGAAACGAGGACTATTATTTAGTTTATATTGTGGCGGCTCGGTTAGTTCCGATGCTCACAGATTCTAGCAAATAAATACAAACGATGCCACTTCTTGTTTCCTTATATATGGTATTATCTGCTGCGCCGGCAGCGACGTCGGCAGAAATAGGAACCGGACAACGAACTGAACCTCCGCCGCTGCCGTTGCCTCTGCCGACGTCGACGTCGCCGTTAGCCACTTAGAATCGACAAAAAGCCAAAGTTTGTCAACGTTTAAGACCAACAGAGCAAAAACAAAAAAAAAAAAATATTTAGGGGGCGGGGGAGGGGATTAGCCCAAAAAAAAGTGGGGTCTGTAAGCCAAAATCATCATCCATCTGGGGCCAAAGCCAAAGAGCCAGAGCCAGAGATGGATGAACCTCTAGAAGATGTAACTTTTTACGGGTCTTCTGGGCAATTCTTCTGGCTTTCCGTTGCTGACGGAGACTGATCGCAGCATAGAAATCTGGTTTTCGGGGCAACAAAATTAGAAAACCGCCATCATCAAATTAGCATACACGTTTAATGATGATTCTCCTCTCACAGAGCGTGTGTGTGTGTGTGTGTGCGTGTGTGCATGTGCGTAAATTTAAATCAGCGTTAATTTTTTATAAAGCATGGAATATATATTTAATATATATATATATATATATTTATTATATATATACTGATACTGATACTAACGATTAAATATGCGTCGATTTTGGGCGACCAGTTTTAGCGGCATGGACACCCAAGTTCCGAAAGTACTGCTGAATGGAATCAACGGATCTGATTCTTCAATCTTCTCCTCTGATAAGATTGCCCCATTCTCAGGCCATCTTATGTTAATGCATCAATGTTCAATGTTCAGCCTTCGCTTAATTAGTCGTTCCGTTTCGCTCTTATCAAAATGAATCAAATGCGATTCCATTTGTTTTCCCCACTGCTGTCTGGTGTGGTCGAAATCTTCTGGCGGATCAGTGTCTGTTGGAGTCTTGGGCTCTCACAAATGGCACTTAACCTCGGATGCGAGGGGTTCTCGCTTTCGGTAGCTTTTCAGCGTTTTGTGTTTCCATCATTTGCATAGCTATTGGTTACACTAATGGCTCTATTTGAGGTCCCATATGTTATCTGATTTTGAGGAGCTCTAATTGTTCCATTGTCGGTGCTTCGGCAAGATCTTGAAGATCTTTACCTAAAAAGTAGCAAAACCTTGACTTTTATTTCTCTTTAATATTTTTTTTAATATTCCAAAACATATTCCTACTTAAAATTTAATATCCCAATTCCACTCTTTAATGAACTAGTTCTTGGTGTATTAACGTTTATTATTGTTTTGCCCATTCCAAATGATCTTTCATGTTTTTATGGTGTTATATGGTTTATACAAATTCTGATATATGACAATAATAAAAAATCAAGCAATTTTATTTTACCCAAATGGGGGGAAGTGGCAAAAATGTAAAACTCATGAAAACGAATATATAATGATTATCTATAAATATTTTACGATTTTTCAAAAGATTTATATTTCTTAACTTGAATTAAACATTTTTTATTGATTGTGTGAAAGATAAAATATATTCTGTAGGAAATTTATAACGATACACATACATTAATTGGAACACAGTCACAAATATATGAAAACATATCTATTATTTTTCGTTCAATCTATTTTTATCTTAATCATTTTGCATTTCAAGAAATTGAAGACAGTAAATTAGTGCTTCAACTTGTTCTCTTTTGACTTTAGAGAACATATTTATTTCAGATTTCGAGTTCCCCAGTGTTTTGTGCACAAACATTTTGAAAGGGAAAATAGCTGTTAGTCAATCACATCTTGCTTTCCCATCGATAAGATGAGATTTGAAATCAAACCGGACCGGACACGCAACTCTAATGATAATCGCTAATGGTGCCTCTAATTTAAGTTTTATGCTTAATAACTTAAACGAATGCCGCACGGCATTCATTTTTCATCGGCTTTGGTGGATCTTTGACGAGATTCTTCTTCTGGTTGTCGGCCGATCTTCTTGGTTTCTTGGCTTCTTGGCTTCTTGGTTTCTTAACCTAATGAAAACGTTTTGGGTTTAGTTTCGATTTTGGCCATTTCAGCGACTTGTCAGTTTTGTGATGGCTGTTCGTTAGTTCGCCTTGGAAAATAACCTGGTGTCTGGTGTTGTGTCTTTGATACCGAATCGCATTTGTTATGCATACTTGCACACGCCCCAGAGTTTTGTCTTCGATTTTGAGCCGATCTTGATGTCTCACTTAGGAGGTGCAAACGAGTTCTCTAACTCCGGACCCCAAAAGGGAGTGGCACTTGGAAACGGAATCGGAATCGGAATTGGACACCCAATCAATCTGACTCATCTTGGTCAACCCATTACCCCATTAATTGGCATTGCCTTAATTCCAAGTAAAAAGCCTGCAGATGCTGCATTAATTACCATTCGCTTAGCGCGAATTTTGCTGGATCTTGGCTTTACATTTTGCCATTTGCATACAAAAGAAAAGAAAGTGTTTCATTTGCCCGTGTTGTGTCTCTAATTTTTATTGCCCGTGCCTGTCAGTGATTTCTTTGGCAAATTAACAGATCCAACAACTTGTTACGCAGCCCCCAGTTCCCTCGTTTCGCTGGGCGCTTTGAATTTTGCCGAATTTTCGATATTTGGCCTACATTCTGAGGGTATTTCAACTTTCACAGGGGTCACATATTTTTAGAAGAAATTCGCAATTTAGTATAAGAAAATTATATATAATTTTAAATAGGTTTTATTCATTCTTATAAGCTAAAGTGCTTTTAATTTCATTGCAAGCCGTAGATACATACATTGAAGTACCAACAAATTTGATACCTAACTATAAAAGTAATGTTTCTGAAATAAATAAATCATTTAAAATATATAAAATGTATTTTATAGTTGCATATATTTTCTATAAAATCCCAAAGAGCATTCAAATCTTCGTTGGGAATTATCAAAACGTATTTCTGTTTTTTTTTTTTCCCCGTGAACGCTTAGCCAAAACAATAAAGAAAGAGCAGAAAAAAGAATATAAAATAAATAAATAAATTAGCAATTATAAGGAGACAGAAACGAGATTTCCAAGAAACCAAAACATTTAGTTCTGTTCTTTCTATACAATTCGAAACGATTCTGTTTTCTCCTTCTATTTTTTTGCCCTTGAGGCCTTTTGCGGGATGGATGATGTAAAAATTATGTAAAAAAACATAGTTCGAGTTGGAAAACAAATACTGAAATCAGGGTCTAAATTTGACCAGCATGATGAGCAGTTATTAAATGGGACTTTTATTAACGAGTTTAACGAGACATTAGGAAAAATTTTCCAGCAATTTTAAGGTTCTGATTTAACAACCCAAAAAGTAGGCTTTAAAAATACCCTTGGTCAATATCTACGGAAGTAGTTTGATTTGATAGGAAACTATATTTGCATGAGTTAATATTCTTTGCTAAATGAATTGGACTAAGGTTGTTTCCATTAGATACTTCTATCTAAATGTTCCATTGATAAAAAAGAGATTGATGGCTATAAATGTGCTAAATTTAATTTAATTATATCAGTTTTGTGAAGTCAAAAGCAGACTTAATCAATTCACAATTGTTTTATGTCTAATAGATGTCTGCAAAATATTAATACAAAATGTATGTTTATCATTTTTTGTATTTTTAACCCTTTTTTTTAATTGTTTCCCAAAATTGTTATGTTAAGCTTAATAACTTTTTTTTAAATCCTTTTATATTTATTAATTATTTTTTAACTGTCTCTTTGTGACAGGAAAATAAAATATTTTATATAAATAATTTGTAGGAACTGGTTATTATTAATTTTCCTGTGTACTAACTTATATTACTATCTTTGTTACCACTTAATTTTATTTATATAAATACATTTTGTCATCTGAGATATTTAATGATAAGGATGCAATTCGATACCAAGAGTACCTATATGGATTTATTATGTTTACTTATTTGTTAATTTGATACCGTTTCTTATTCATAGTTTCGCTAACCATTTCAATCTCTTTATGTATAATTTGTTCAATTTATTGGCCAAATTAAGCAGTATCTATCAGTGCATCTATTAATCTATTGATATGCAGATCTTTTTGTGAACCTCTCCTTATAGACAGTTCCATAAATCTGTTCAGCTCCATTTTGGAGCAAGCTATCACCCATCGCCTAACTGATATTCGGATGGATACCCGATATCTATCTGCCCACATCGCACTACGCAACTGGTTCTAGGCACCGATACTGATTCTGATTCTGATTCTGAATGTGATTCTGATTCTGATTCCGATGCCGTCCGTTAATCCGTCCATCTAATTTGCATTGGGCATCGGCACATGCAGAAGGAACACCCCCCACCGCCTTTCGTACACATTATCCAGCCATCTCCCCGGAATTATACATATTATACGATATAATACTTGTAGGTGGCCGATGACGACGCCCCTAAATTTGAATTTGGCGAGAGCGGGTTGTCATTAGTGGAGCATGTCCAGGGCATGTGATTGAATCTGAATGGAATATTAAAAATCAGTTATGGCTGCACGTTCTGAATCAGAGAACTGCGATCTGGTTGCGGGCCATAAATAATATGTGGCTAAATCATATTTTATGGCCAACTTAAGGAAATACGCCATACGGTACGGTACGGTTCGATTCGGCTCGGCTCGGCTATATCAATATCTCCATCCCCAATGTTGGCTTTGGTTCTGCCGGTCCAGAACCCAGAGCCGAATTGCCAAGTTGTCGAGTTGCCGAGTTGCCGAGCAAAACCAACTAAATCGAGTTGCGATCAGGTTCTCTGTGGTCTTTGACCGGTTATGCATATTCCACCTGAGCCGATCGATCGAACGCTCCTTTTTTATGGCTGTTTTCTACCTTTTTTTCACCTTTTTATTTGATTTTTGTTTTTTTTTTTTTTTTTTACTTTGATCACTGAGGGGTGGGGGTTTTATTTTTGTTATTTCTGCCAAAAGCCAAGAAATAAATAATCAATGCGAATTTGCATAGTTTAAATAGAAAGCTAAACACGTTTTGC